GTGAGGATGCAGTTGATTTGCCAAGAATAACCTGCAATTCTCGCGGAATTTCTCCCGGTGTACGCGAGTCCGTCCGAAATTTCACCGGATGGACGGGAATCGACGGGATCAGCGGGTGAAATTCGGAATAGATCCTCGATCGCGTCGCAATTGGAAATCTTGCCTGTCGCGCGGTATGCTTTCCATTTCTAACGATCGCGGTCGGTAGCGGAGACCCGTCGTTACGACGTTCCGTGAACCACGAAAACCGATTTCTATTTTTCCTCGTCGCCCGCGTTTCTCGTGCGTCAACGCGCGAGTCGCGCGCGTATTGACGTTTTTGCGTCGGATACGTACATTTTCCCCGCCGTCTATCTCGCCGGATAATCGTGACGTGATACAAAAATACCAAACTTATCTCCGTCGATGACAGACGCGCCTCGAGACTGTTGTATGTCAATATTTCGAAGCCGGGCATAATTAAAGTTCCAAGAATTCGTCTTCGGTTTCGAGAATTATGCAAACCTGATTTATTATTCGGCGGGCAGGAGCAATTCGGCTTCCACGATTTTTCCACGTCGGAATTCACTTTCCAGTGAATTCCCATAAACTGCGACGTGCAAAATCGTCAGATCGATAAGTTTCAACGAGGATACGAAAATGATCTCTCGCGGGCGGTGATGATGAAATTAACGACAATAAGAACGATGATGCATCCGTCACCGATGAGCCGCCCGATTGGAAGGTCGGGACAACGACAGGTCGCGGGGAGCTATTAACGATCAGACACGAGCCAAGCCGCAGGCGAAGTTGATCAGACCCGTTTTACCGCACTCCGCTGGAACGTGCACGCGCGCACGTGATTTACGCGCATGAATAAAGTTCACCTGCCGACAGGTATGTCTATATGGGCGCCTGCCTGGGCAGGTTCGTTCGGGTCCACACGACGACCGCACTATGGTGCGGCCGTTTAATTCGGCGAGCGACCTGCGTAACGCGATATCACCCGGGGGGTCCGCTTTCTGTCGCTACACAAGATAAATCGTGTCTTCGATATAATTACGATAATTCTTACGTCATCTAATATAGATCGGTCGAATAATATCGAATCGAAGGAGCCGAAATACGTAATGAGATTCGTGAAATTCGCTTGACTAAAATAAATTTGTTGAAGAAACGAAATTGGAGGGCGCTGTTGGTGAAAAAAATTGCTGAATATTCAACGCGAAGCACACACAGTGGTGTGTGTATGTATGAATATTCGACTGTGAGTCGACTTCGAGATTCCCGGAAGAACGTAAATTCGTATTGCGTTTTTCGGCTATTAGAAGCGTTAGATGTTACTCTTCGACGTTCGTCTCTGTTGTTGCGTCAAGTTATATGCGTCTCGTATGATTTATTATTAATTTGATAACAAACATTCCACGAAATGCGCTGTCGTTCGAGGGAATAAACAGTTGTGTTTTTGTGTACGTACAGATATTGGAAAATCTTATCAATATCAATCGAAGTCTGTTGAGATCACAAGTCTCGGTCGTTTCATCTCGTCCGACCCGTTTCCTCTGGTATTTTTATTGTGGTCCCGACGAGATATTCTTGGTGATCTTTATCTATCTAGTCCCGCGATTATAACCGTCACCGCATACAGAATAGGAATTCTGTGGATATGTATATACATAGGAAAACGACAGTCATTCATCAAGGATGACTGACATTGTCGAATAGATTGTAATTTTGCAGAAATTTGTTTAAAAACGATTACTATTATCTCGCAATAACCACATCCGACTTTTCATCCCTTTTCATATTTCGCATAAAGCTGAATCTCGCTATTTCTCGGATAGATTTTAATTTCGCATAGACTCGATTCTATGGTTCGATATGTGTATATAAGAAAAAGTGCTAAATACAAATAAATAATTATTTCAACACTATTTAGTAAATTTTTATTTGGATCAAATAATATTTAATATTTGCTTGATCCAAATAAAATATCTTCCAAGTAAATTATTCAGGTGAGATATTTGACCAAATTAAAATTCACTTAATCCAAATAACAATCTGCTAAAGAGTAATTATTTTTTTTTTTTGAATCTAGCATTTCTTTTTTATGCGCAGAAATGCGCGAGAAGTTTAATAATTTAATATAATCATTTGTTAACTGGGAGGAAAATTCTGTAGTCACATAGGAAGAAATGAAGAGTGGCGGTGAGAGAGATATTTTCTCGTGAATTTTTATTTTAGAATCCGAAGCGGATGTGTAATCGCAGCTCTCGAGATACATACGGTCGAAGCCTCCGAGCTTAATTCCATGACGATCGATAAGGAAATACATATAGAACAATGCGACGACCAGCATCGACAGATATTGAGCCGTTATGACTTGCAAAACTTCGTCGCGCGTTCTCTAGTAGCACGACTTTATCTCATCTCTCATCGCCGATGAGGATTCATCGTTCATTTCGAAACTGAAATTTTCCCTAAATGAAAAAAGACATTATCCCTTTCGAAAACCGGGCAATTTAGATATCTCAAATCAGCGATAAGCGTGGCTGCGAGCATTCAAAAATCCCTTCGTTCTCGAAATCTGGCGAGATATTTCTCCGATGACGTAATGATTTATCCGTCACTCGGCAGAATGATTCATGATAGAGACAGAAAGTTTTCAAACGTCGTCGTTGTGGGAAATAAATGTACAGGGTGTTTCTTAAGTACCGGCCGATACTTTAGGAATTGATTTTAACGAAGGAATTTATTCAAGTCGCTTTATGAAGAAATCAACACGTGTTATGTCAACTCTTCTTTGTAAAATCATCTAGAAAATCAACTCCCAAAATATTGGGATAAATACTTGAGAAATATCCTCTACGTTTATCGATTCGCTACGACAGCATGAAAATTTGCTGTTCTTCTGAATTATTTTTCCCCGTGTGTGTAATCTTAATTATGACAGACTATCGATTGACACAGTTTGTATCATATCTCAGAGCGGTGACTGCAATCACATGATCGTTTCCGTCGCGAGCGAAACTTCGACTTTTCTTAGAGATTGGTACATCGTGAGATTTATTCACGACATTTAGTCGACTCAAGCAAAATGTTTGAATAGGAGCGAATCAATGTTTTGGTTGTGAGAACCAAACTTTGGTTCTCTGAAGCGAGAATGAAAAGACTTCGGTTCGAAGGGTCAAACTTTTGATTCGGAAAACCAAATTTTGGTTTTCGCGACCAACAAAATTGGTTTGTCCGAACAAGCATTTTGTTTAAGTCAACTAAATGTGTTTGTAAAGGAATATCAAGGCGATCGAATTGACAGCCGGTCTCTCTGCGATGCGACAGCTCATTGCTCGGCTCATAATACTGTCTCGCATCTCGAAACGGTGGTCTCTAATCGCGAGATGCTCGCTGCGCTCTTCAAAAGTGTGCAAATAGGGGAGACCGCCGAGTGCGGTTACAGCGCGGAGCGAGGCCGTTGATAAATGTTATTGTCCCGGCTGCATCTGCGGTTCTTGCCTGGGTATCAGCTTCCGGAATACTTAGTCAGATTTGTGTCCTGCCATCGACACAGTTCTTTACTCGGTAAAGCTTCCAGAGAGGCGCAATGCCGGTTGGGATCCGGTGGCTCCTATTTATCCGCGGTTTTTTCAGCGCATCACGGTGTCGTTTCATTCCCGCTCGCTTCTTTACATTATTACATCAATTACACCATGGAAAATCTTTTGTATCACACCGTGACCGTCCGCATCAACACGGACAAAAAAAGGAATTTACTCGAATCTGCCTGACAATAGACAATCAAACGTGTTTTGGCTGAGACAGAATTTTTAGCTATTAGCAAGAAGCAAGTCCGGTTCTTACAACCAGAAATTCTGCTCCCTCCCGCCAAAACGCGTTTACTCGTCCGTCTCGTCAAGTGGCTTCAACCTGACCCTTTTTTTTTTCTATGAAGGTCGGGTCGTTGCGTTCAAGGTTGAGCCGGGATTTTCTCGCCGTGGCGGAAGATATTCGTCAATCGTTCCGTTGTTGCAAAGCTGCGAATGAAAAATTCGTGGAAAGAAATCAAAATGTGTGGTTCCGTGTTCTCTCGATTTGTTGTTCCTTTTTACGGGATGTAAATCGTCGCTCTTCCGGTTTCTATTTTTTTCGGAGAGATGAATGAAACCGATAACGCGAAAGGACAACACCGCGGCCGCAGATAGTGCCAACCGCAATAAATTTGATATAAAAATAATTGTATTCTGTAGAATGTGTGATTTATTACTCTTGTGAGCGCGCGCGCGTCTTAATTTATTTAAGCGCACTGCTCGCCTCGTTACTTCCGAGGTGTCTCGGTTTTCCTGTTTCGTCAGTAGATTTGTGGTCCAAGATGATCGCATTTGCTACGCGGGTTTTTCCGGTCTCCGTGTCTCAATCCTTGAAATCTGAGAAACGGCTCGGCGAGAAATCGTAACGCGAACCGCGCTTTTCTCTGCGATTTCGCTGTTGAAATCGCGCGAGTGACGTCATTAATACGTTTCTAATGCGTCGTTAACACGTTAATTTGACGTCATTAACAAGTTATTATGTTTGCTGGGTAATTTAATCCACTTGAAAAGATTCAACATGTATCCTCCATTTTTGTGATCAATATCTTTTCCTCTATTATTTCTATTATTTCAATTTCGTATTTCCGCGAATTCGCTGTGATATCCTTCTGATAAAATATTTATATTCTATAATAAATAAAAAGAATATTGTATCGCTGCAAGAAATGTGACTGATATATTCCTCATTTCCTTGATTCAGTTTCGCCAGAGGAAAGAAAACACGCACACATAAAATACGATTACCCACTTCACACATACGCAAACCCTGAAGGACACTCAAACGTTTCTCAGTGAGAGACGGTCCATCTTTACGTCTCGCCCGTATTTCCCGTATCCCTCGATCGATTACACCTGCATTCCTCTTGCATCTCGCGACACCACAGCTGTCGGATAAACCGCATCTTTATCAAAGTCAATTTGTCTTTTGCTTCGCAGCGTCCGACACTCAGAACGGAGCGGATCAAGAGCAGGAGGCCGAGACGCAGATCGATGCCGCGTCGCCGTCGTCGAGCGTGAGTATCCACTTGTCACCTGGACCGGCACGCAACGACGCGTCGGGCCGTCGATATCATAATACCCGAGTCGAAATTTTGACGTTACTCGGACGCCCTTAAGAATGATAATTTGATACAAACTAATAAGAACCCATTTTGACGATATCGACACTTTTTAACTTCTCTTTCAAATCTTCAACATTACAGAATAAATTTTAACGCTACCCTCATCGTCCTGTTTCAACGGTAGAACGACGAAAACGGAGATTAACGGCATCAGACAGAGTGAAAATAGGGATTGCATTGTATTATTAGAACTAAAATTGAACCAATATTTTGCTATCTCAGCTCCCACCGTGCTGTAGAATGAAAAGTTCAACATCAGGATCAGAATTTCGGGTCGGCGATTAGCGGGTAAAAACGTGCTCAACTAATGACGCGCGTATCTCTGCCGAAAAAAAAAACAGGTCGAGCTGTCGAAGAGCGCGCGGCCGTGCTCGACGTGTCCGTCGAATTCCCGGGGGCTGAATCACCGGTCGCGCAGCTCACCCCGCAGCGAGCCGGAGGACTGCAGCGGCTCGGAGGACTTCGGCGGCTGCGGCGACGAGAAAGCGAGGAGCGGCTCGGAGCGGCCGGCTCACCACCGGACGCTCTCCTCGCCCAACAGCTGCACGGACTCCGAAGGAGGCAGTAGCGGCTCGGAGCGGCCGGCTACCAGCAGCGGCCGGGACGAGTACAACAACAGCAACGAGCTCGCGAGCGACTCGCCGGAGCCGCTCGACCACCGGCGACAGGAAGCGTCGGCGAACGCCGGTCGCGCGACGAATAAGCGGAAGTGTCGCACCGACGGCGAGGAGGAGGGGGAGGAGGCCGAGGACGACCCGGAGAGTCGTAGGAGAGACGGCAAGATCCTGCTGAACAACTTCAAATTGGTCATCAGGCTCGACGGCGAGGAGGGCTTCGCCTGCCCGGTCTGCGGTCGACGGGACTTGGCGAGCGCCGCCCTGCTGCAGAGCCACCTGGAGTGCGCCCATCCGGACTTCCGGGCGAAGTGCGAGCCGTGCAACCTCACGTTCAAGAACCACCGCATGCTGAGCCTGCACCGCGACGCGAAGCACTTCGGCGAGGGGGGGAACGGCGGACGGGGTGGGAGTACGGGGCGCAACTACGTCGACGGCTTCAACGACTGCACGTTCGTCGACTTCTCGTCCACCAAGTTCCCGACGATCGCCCGGGCGGTCTGCGAGCGGGAGCCGCACCGGCCGGCCTCCGGCGAGGCGAACAAGTTCCAGTGCGTCAAGTGCCTGCGCGCCTTCCCCTGCAGCCAGGCCCACCTGGCCCACGAGGAGGAGTGCAAGGGCCCGTACGAGAACAAGAGGGCCAACAGCAACGACAACAACAACAACAACAACATCAGCACGAACAACAACCTCGACGCGGCGAGCCCGCCGCCGGCGGACGAGCTGAAGGTCAAGCGGGAGACCTTCTTCGCGACGTTGGACCTGCAGAACAACGAGCCGCCGGCGAAGGAGCGCAAGGAGGGGGGGAGGCCGCCGGCGAGCGGCCACGACGTCCGGGAGGCGAAGGACCTCGCGGACATCCAGAGCATCATCCTCACGGTCGCCAACAACGCGCCCATATCCTTCCCGCGATCGGACGCCAGCACGCCGGAGAACAACGTCAAGTTCAATCCGAGCGTGGGCTCGTCCGGCTCCTCGGGCACCTGCTCGTCCGAGTACACCGAGGAAGAGGGCCAGGAGTCCTTCGCCGCTGAGTTCCGCAAGATGAAGCTGAAGGGCGAGTTCCCGTGCAAGCTGTGCACCGAGGTGCTGCGCAACCTGCGCGCCCTCAAGGGCCACAATCGCGTGCACATCAAGCACGCCGGCGACTACGGGCTGCCGTATCCGTGCAACATGTGCTCCTACACCAGCACCGACAAGACGACGCTGCAGAGGCACGTGAGGTCGCACAACGGCGACCGGCCGTTCGAGTGCTCCCTCTGCAACTACGCCTTCACCACCAAGGCGAACTGCGAGAGGCACGTGAAGAAGACCCACAACATGTGCAGCAAGGAGGACATACAGAACGCCCTGATCTACCATCCGAGCGAGGACTCGACCAACGACAACGTGGTCGCGGCCGTCGGCAGGAGCTCGCCCCGTGTCGTCAGGGAGGACGCGCGGAAGGCGCTCGTCTATCCGAGCGAGCACGAGGACCACCACCAGACGCAGCCTTGGACCCCCGGACCGTCGGCGATCCTGCCGCGCCCGGAGAAGCCGGAGCCGCTGAACCTCGTGAAGAAGGACAGCCCGGAGCTGATAATGCTGCAGCTGCCGCTGATCAACTGCCCCAGGCCGGACGAGGAGGACGCCGAGTCGAGATCGTCGGACGGCAGCGTGTCTCTAGTCAGCGATACCAGAGCGGACCAAAGAATAATCCAAGCTAGTCCGATGAATCTGTCGAAGCCGTCCACGAGCGGGCACTTCGTGCCGCCGGCGACCGGCCAGGACGGCCCGTTGGATCTCACCATGGACGTGTTGGATCTGAGCAAGAAGCGGAAACGGGAGAGCGAGGCGGCCTCCAACGACGACGACGAGACGCAGCACGGCGGCAGGCAGAGGGACATTTACAACGTCACCAGCCACGCGCTGTTTCTCACGCACGCCCTCATGAGCAACGCCGCGCAGAACTCGGTGCCGACGTCCCTCGAGAGTCTCTACGCGAACACGCGCTCCCTCATCTACCGGAACTTCGGCTCGCTCACCGCCGCCGGCGCCGCCGGCATGATACCGCCTTACCTGCTGAACCCGCAGATGCTGAACCACGGGCTGACAGTGAACGGCAGCAAGCTGCAGAGGGACCTGGTGCGCGGCCTGCAGCTCACCGGCGGCGGCACCATGGTGGACCACTCGTTGCCCAGCACGAGCTACGCGGCGCATCCTCAGGGTAACGCCGCGCAGACCCCGAGCGAGCAGCAGCAAGGCGTCCCCTACCCGAGCCCGCAGTCGAGCGCGCAGATCAGCCAGCAGCAGCAGCAGTCCCCCGCGCCGCGGCAGCTGGCGACGCGACGGGCCGACAGCGTGTCGGCGTCCGGCAGTTCCGTGAAGATGGTGCTGAAGGACGGGATACTGGTGCCGAAGCAGAAGCAACGTCGCTACCGCACCGAGCGGCCGTTCTTCTGCGCGATCTGCTACGCGCGCTTCACCCTGAGGAGCAACATGGACCGACACGTGAAGCAGCAGCATCCGCAGCGCTGGTGCCAGAAGAAGGCCCGGGGCGGCCACTCGGCCCGGGGCAGGCCGCCCGCCAGCCACGCGGCGGTGAACAATCCGGAGGCCTCTCTGCCGGAGGACGTCGGCTCGCCGCAACTGGCGGCGGCGACCACGTTGAACCCGGGCGCCTCGCGCACCGAGTCGCCGACCACCACCCCCCCGACGACGGAGCACAGCCGGCACTCGATCTCCGAGCAGGTGAAGTACGCGATCCTGGCGCAGCAGCTGAAGGCCAGCAAGTTGGACAACGAGAACGACTCGGATCAGGAGATGGTGATAGACGAGGGCGACAGGGCCGACTCGCAGGAGACGCCGCAGGCTCAGGAGTCCGCGAGCTTGCTGAGAGGCCAACTGGAGGGTAACGAGGGCAGAGGAGATGTCGTCGTGAAGATGGAGCTCGAGGAGGAGGAGGAGGAGCCCGCGGAAGCCTCGTCGGAGGAGTCCCACGGCGGCGAGCAGGTCGCGCCAGGTAACGCCGACGCGGTGAAGGAGGAGCCGCCAGCGGAGGGCAAGTCGACGTGCGGCGAGACGAAGACGCGAGGCGAGCAGGGCAAGCTGGAGGACGGCACCGCGGACTTGGCGAGCGTGTCGAAGCTCCTGGACAACGCCTCTCAGCAGTACCAGCAGTTCCAATACTTAAGCGACGAGGAGGGCCTGATCGCCTCCACCAGCGACTACAACAACTCGGGCAGCGAGAAATCGGACTCGCCGAACTCCCTGCACTCCGAGACCTCCGGCAAGAAGAGGAAGAAGAAGAAGAAGTCCGCCTACTCGATGGCGCCGAACCGGGTGATCTGTCCGTATTGCCAGCGCCCGTTCCCGTGGACCTCGTCCCTGCGACGTCACATCCTCACTCACACCGGGCAGAAGCCGTACCAGTGCATCCACTGTTCGCACCACTTCACCACCAAGTCGAACTGCGACCGGCATCTGCTGCGCAAGCACAAGACCAAGGCGAACAAGAGCCGGCGCGTGCGTAACTCGACGTCGCCGGAGGTCGAGCAGGCGCGGGTGGTAAACAGCAGCAACAGCAGCAGCAGCAACACCTTCACCACGAGGAACGTGCCGGAGCGGCCGTACAAGTGTAACCAGTGTCCGAGCTCGACGTTCTCCACGCTGGGCAACCTGAAGAAGCACCGTTCGACGAAGCACGCGCTGCGCAAGACCAAATCCAGGTCGGACACGCCGTCCAGCGACCAGCAGAACAGCCCGACCCAGTCGTCCGCGCAGAACGACCAGAGCGACTACGAGAGCCGGTCGTCCAGCGTCTCCGAGACGACGGACAACTCGCCGCCCGCCAAATCGAACCCCACCACGTCGCCGGCGATGAGCCACGAGACCACCAGGTCCCGTAAGTCCTCACCGGCGCCGGTCGACGTGCCCTTCAAGTGTCACCTCTGCGACAGCTGCTTCACCGAACGCCAAGACTGCCTGGAGCACATCAAGACGAACCACAAGTGCTCGTACGACATGCTGGTGGCCAAAGGCGCCCTCGACATGGACATCGACGCGTCCGAGGACCAGATGCTGGCGCAGCAGCACTCGAGCGACGGCGAGGGAAAGGGCGGTCGCTTCCACGACTACAGCAACAGAAAAGTAAGTTGTCCTCCTCCTCGTCTCCGGACTCGTCCCGGGGGCCGTCGGGGTCCGTCCCACGCGCGGAGCGGAAAAGCGGAACGGAAAAGGTGTCAAGCGGGGGACGACCAATCCGTACCGTTGTTTCCCTCCGATTCCAATAATGGCCGGGTTTCCCATGGCGCGCGTTTTAGGGAAAGGGACCCCCGATATCTCGAACTTTGTCGTGACCGGCCTATGACTATAAACATCGCCCTACATAATAAATTCACAGTAGTCAAAGCCGACCTATGATTTCTGTGAATTTATCATATAGGACGATGTTTATAGCCAGATCTTGCATTCAAGATCGCCTCAAGTTCGTCCTCGCGCGATAAGAAAATTCGTGTTAAATTTCACATATTTCAACGTGTGCTCCAAACGGTTCACACGAATTCTTAACGTAACACAAGATGAATAGTGTTGGAAAGTAAGAAAAATATCAATGCTGGAAATTAGCTCAAAATTAATAATTCATAATATGTTAATCGACACTGAAGTATAAAATGTGTTACTTTAACACACAAACGTATTGAATATCGGCTTAGCACAAAATATTGAGATAATACAAACATAATGTGTTAAATTAACACAGGAGTGTGTGAAAAATATAATATAAACACGATGACGAGGACTGATTTCCCCGTATATTTGTCTCATATTATTTTCATCGGGTGTAATTAATAAACCGTCATTAATAATCAATCAATTGATAAACATTGAATCTTGCATTCTTACGAATTTCCGGATAGGAAGCCCGAGGGAATTTTCGAAATCGCGACAATAAAGTGACAAGTGTCACAGCTTCGTCCCATCGCTGCACTTCTCTTCCGTTCCGCACAGAGCGGCACCCTTGCACGGAGCAAAAGATCTCGTTCCACAATTACACGTGCTTAACTTTTCACTTCCGCAGGTAGTGTGCGCATTCTGCATGAGACGGTTCTGGTCGGCGGAGGATCTCAGGCGGCACATGAGGACCCACACGGGCGAGAGGCCGTTCCAATGCGACATCTGCTGCCGGAAGTTCACCCTGAAGCACAGCATGCTGCGCCACCGTAAGAAGCACGAGTCCATCGACTCGTCCATGTACATAGGTAACAGCGGTGACGAGGAGAACCCGCCCACGCAGCAGCCGCCGACGATAACCCCGAGGAGCCAGCAGCACTCGCCGGTGCCCACGAACACCAGCAGACCCCGGACTCAGGACAGAATCTCTCTGCCGACGGTGGCGGCGGTCGCGACCGGGGATGCGGCGCCCTGCGCCCTGATGCGTTACAAGCATTACGACAACATGGCCATGATGACCGGCCGAATGGCGAACGACGGCTCCCAAAACGCCCCTCCCCACCGCCCAACGCCTCCGCCCGCGGACGCGCCTGGCGAGAGCGGCGAGAACGATTTGATCTCCGACCTGCTGGGGATACGCGAGAAGGGCCTCCTCGACAAAGTCCTCCGCAGCACGGCGGACGACGCGGCGAAATTGTTAGGCGTCAATCGTAGCGAGTGATAGGTGTAGGTAGTAATAGTCATAAGTCGGCCGGTTAAAGCCGAGAACCGGCGGCGAACAGTTCCGAGTCCGCGGGCTCTCCCGACGAGCAGCATTGTGCGAGAGGAGCAGCGGCGACGAGGAGGCTGAGAATCTGACGGACGGAGTGAGATGAGCGCGAATACCGTTGGTTATCGTACACGCCGGGAAAATTGGTAAGAACCATGTCGACCTCTTCCCCTTGTCTGTTATATCTTATTATGTTGGGTTGAATCAAAATTAATATACGTGCTATCGTGATACGCATGTTGCTAAATTGAAGGAAAAAAGTCGGGCATTTTGTGTGAAACAAGGGGAGGACTTTTTTTTTTTTTAATTAGGAGACCTCTCCTAATAAGTGACAAAGCCCGTTAAATCTTATAAACGGGAACCGCTGAGACGACAAACGATAAAATTAATGATAAAATCGGATCCAACGAACTCTCTGACACGCGTCTCGAATCGCGAATGGGCTCGAGCTTATCTCACGACGTTTCATTTTAGCGAGAGTTCGTGTTTACTCTTTCCTCTCTCTCTCTCTCTCTCTTTCTCTCGACAATGTGCTACGGGCCGAGGATCGCAACGAGAATGGCACGCGAATGGCTCGTCCTTCGACGTGAAACCTTTTTTCACGAGGATACACGGAAACGCGGGTCGAGTGCGTCGAGCGCCTTCATTCTTCAATCTTTAACGCACGCGTTTCGAAATAGATTTGTTTGTCACCAGTAAGAGAGACGAAGTTGGCAATTAATAACAATTACTGGCGCTGCGTTTCACATCTCCCGCCGCAGTAAATCGGCTCTTGACATGCAATCGCTGAAGGTGAGACTATTGTTTTCAATGTGATAGAACGAAGCGGATAAAAAAAAAAAGGGGGGACGGATGGAACCGGCTGTCGAAGTGATCAAGATAACATATATAAAGCGCGTATAAAAAGTTGTGATTTTGGGTAGAGCGAGATCGGATTGTATTTTAATATTTTAGTATAAAATAAGTCGAATTAAGTCGGTAATTTTTAAGTTCAAGGCTCGGCTCCATCCGCCGGCCGTATCGGTTTTGTGACGTCATAGAGCGAGATGGAGCCGAGCTTTAAGATATTTCTTTTAAGCTATTCCCTTGCGTACTTGAATATAAGAAGCGGTCTCATTCGCGTGCTCGTATTAAGAAGAAATCTTTTTTTTTTTTATTTTATTTACTCATAAAAATTATTTATTATCCGAGGCAATAACAATAAGTATCCAGCCTCCGACACCAACAAGCTGATTTACTGACGGGAGATACAAAATACAACACTAGTAATTTGACATGCATTGTCACTATAAGTTAGTACGAAACAAGGGTACGGGGAGGGGGGGAGGGGAGGAAACGACGACCTGTGGGGTCTCACTTAACGCTGTCTGACAAATCCGACGATTACGGAATGATTGTTTATACGCTCCCTCGTACAAAGGTGGAGAAGCGAAGTCGGGCGTGGGGAGAGCGGGGGGAGCTCCTGAATGCGCGGATTCACCGAGCTTCTCCGCGTTCATTCAAGATTCACGATCGTGCCTTATCGTTTCTTTATCGGCGTTCGCCACACGCGCGTGCGTTCGAACTCGTCGCAGCGACGAGTTTCGCCGAGGGATCTCCTCCTCGAGCGAGCGGGAGGCCGAGGAGAGCGACTTGCGCCGCGATGCACCGTCCATCCTCCTCTGATCGACTCAAAATGGAAAATGGGTGAAGTCACGGAAATCGGATTTGTCGGATTTCTCGACAGGGATTCGCCGGAGGAAATCGTCGCGTGTCTCCCCCCGATCCTCGACGTCGGAGACCGGTTTCACACCCGCGCTTCTCGTATCCTCCTATTCCTCTTTTTTCCTCCTTGTCTCATCTTCGTCCTCATCCGTGAGTGAGGGGGAGAGGAGGGGGGGGGGATAGGCGGAGGCACGACGAGCTTGTTGAAACCAGTCCCCGATTCGGAAGATCAAGCGCGACCACACGCTCTCTCTCTCTCTCTCTTCTTCTCGCAGAGAACGCGCGAACGCCTCGTCGATTCACCTATTTTTCACCGCTGATTATGCTTTCACCCTCATCGGACTGCTCCGCGAATTGTATATTGTTTACTGTCCACATATTATCATCATCGTCATCGTGCACTCTTTCCCTCCGCCATCGGAAGACGCCCCACCTGCCGAGCGTCTTCCGTTCACCTCGCGCGATCGTATCCGCGTCCCGGTATTATCCGAACTCTTAAGTATTCACGCGGAAAAAAACAGACGGTTCCGTCGTAAATCGCATCTGTCTATGTGACGATGGCCAAACGTACGGATGAACACGTGGTAAATAATTAGTAATTAATTTTATCCCTGCACGGTAAAAAGTTTTAACAAACAGCGACCCATCGACTGAAATGTTTGTTATTTTAACATGGGAATATGTTAGGAAGTACGCAAATGTGTGTTAAATTAACATGTTCACCTCGTTAAAGTGACACAAATGTGTCGGTGAGACGTTATTTACACATAATTCGTTTTACCGATCGCCGTGAATCGTGACGACGATGACAAGTTGCTTCTTGTCGTCGGATCTTTCCTCGGACAAAATCGGCGCTTTGAATCCTCGAAACTCGAAGACGCGGCCGTTCGAGGCTACGTATAAGGGCATGTGAAATCATATTCCTTTGTTTTATTAAAATAAAATAATAATCAGAAAATGATGGGAAAGAAAAAGAATTGGATATGGGATACTTAAGCGTGGGATATTTAAGCGTTTAAGATTCGACGACAGTCGACGAATACGATCGAAACGTCATCACACGCACCTTCCCCCTTCATCGACGCACGACCGTCAGTCCCGATCTGCAACAGGTATTTTAAGCCTTTAAGAAATCGACCGATCACAGTTAATTATTCTCCTCACATTCCACCGTGATTGGTCGATTTCTTAAGGCTTCAAACTTCAAGCACCTATTGCAGACCAAGACTCAGCCGACGAAACGACTCACGCTTGTAACATAAATAAGTTCCTTTGTAACGCCTCTCGAGTCTTCGAGTTCTCGCCCTCGCGAGAAGCGCGTACCTTGTGCCCTGTGTACATACGCGAATCGTATCAATATTCAGAGTGTGTTTGCGACTTCGATGATCGATGCGGATCGCGCTTTGTCGTTCACTTCGACGTGAGCGCGGAAACACGGCGAAAACTGGGTGTGGACTCGAAATCGTCGGGAGGAGTGACGCACGTGTGTGTGTGCATGTGTGTGTATGTGTGTTTTGCATTTCTGTTTCGCGCCAGTATTAGACGAAGTCCGCGGTCTTCACAGTCGCGCGCTTCGAACGGTCGTCTTTATCGCGAGAGGACGTCGTCGCTGCGTTTTTAATCCCAAAGATTTTACGGCATAGAGCGTAAGTTATATATACATATATAAATATATATATATATATACATAGTCACACACGTATGCTTATATCGTGTTATTTATTGTTAGTCACGTATCTCTAAAAGAGTGAGACTTTTAAGTTAAGGTGCGCAATTACATACAACTGATCTACGCGTATAATCGCATATAAGTAATTCGATTCTTACCGGTCCTACGTTCGTCCGCGTTCTTTTCTTTTTCTTTCTTCTTTTCTCAACTCTACACGGTTTCCGACGGCGTTTCGCGCAGAGTACTCGGAACTGGTTCGAATCCTCACGTAGCGAGAAAGAGGAGGATCGTGTCAATATTGCTTCTGTTTTTACTTTTCGACGAACGACGAGAGAGAGAGAGAGAGAGAGAGAGAGAGAGAGAGAGAGAGAGAGACGTAATTTCCGAACGGATTACAAGATGTGGAAGCGTGCAAAGCAATATTGCAAAATTTATTATATTACGTATAGACTAATTTATATATCTCGTCGCGTGCGCACGCGTGGTCAGAATATAAATTTAATGTATATAGATAGTCGGAGACTTGACCGTACGCAATCGAACGACAGCTTATTCTGTCGGAACTGTCGGAGAGAACGGAAGAAGAGCATATCTGTCGAAGCGAACGAGGCCCGTTTAAGTATCCCGCGTGACATTTCCCCTCAATTATACGCGAGAACGAGAGAAAATACCGAATAATAACCAATTGTAGTACCACGTGTACATGAATAAGTTGTATTCTTAGAGATCTTAATAATAATAACAATAATAAAACATATGCAATGGAAGCTGTAAATACGCTGTAAATATAAGGGCGCGTATCATTCATTTCCCCGTCCCCGTCCGGTTTCATTCGCTTAAAACAAATTCGACTTACATTAGATTTATCGATATTCTCGAACTAAAAGGTATCGTAAATGCAAAAATCAAGATTAAAACCAACAGCTATCGTCCAGCACCGATAATTGGTCTGTGATCTATCAGCTGTTGCAAACCCCATAAGCGCGTGATATTCCCAGAATATTATACGAATATTATTCAATATCAAAATAATATGATGTCCTATGATATTCTAAGAATGTTATGTAATATTTTACACTTACAATCGCATGTTTGAAACATCGCACTTCCAACCTGAATTCTCGAGGGCCGGCCATCACGCCGCGGAAAGTCAAAGTTGACGGTGGCGTCTGATAGTGGCGAGAATAAGAAACAACAACGCGTAGTTCCGAGGGTAACAAAAACGGAACGTGGTGTTACCTTCAGAGCTACTTACATGGTAACGTACACATATAGCCCGGGACAATGTTACAGATATTTGAAAATCGACCTTGTCAAATGTCGAATGCGAGATTGAAATGTGCATCAGCGATGCGATTTCGTGCTTGTCAGCGTTTTCCCCACCATCACACACGAAGAGAAACGTTTCGTCTATCCGTGTGACATGTGCATTGTAGCCGAGCTTTAAATTTATATATATATCTATTTTTTTTTTTTTTAGGAAAATTGAACTAGATATTTATTATGTCTCAAGAAATTTTCTGTTGGTTACATTTTCTATATTAGCTACATAACATCTTCAAAGTTTACATATAACATTGGTTTATAAATACTGATCTAGAAATGATATTCATTGTCTGATCTTAAATTAAAAAAAGTTCATCTTCAGATACTGCAAAGCGTCGCCTAGACAATAGAAGCACGTTTGTAAGAAATAAGAGTAAGAAATGGATAATCACAGTCAAATACGAGGAAAATAGAAAAATTATAATTGGCCAAATTCTTACTCTCACTTAGAGCTACACTCTTACCGACTAATGTATACGACGCGTGAGGGTCGGTTTCGTTGATTTCGTAACATCTAAAGACGATCTTGAATGTAAGATCGGACTACGGATACCGTCCTAAATCGCTCTCGTACATACCGCGTGCTAAACAAAAAGGTCGCGAAAAGAGACTAAAAAAGTACATACAAAAAGGGCCAATATTGTAAAAACAAAAAAAAAAAAGAAGAAATGTATTCCCTATGCTCTCTGGTCACACGTACGCAAAAGGTAAAAAAAAGAAAGGTAAAAAAAAGAAGCCGACGATTATAACATACAAAACGTGACATCCGAAGAGAAGGGGAAAAGTAGGAGAAATATTAAAAAGTTATATGCGCAACTGCGACAATTGTTCCGACAATTGCTGCGACAATTCCTCCAGCAAGGGGGAGCCCGGCACGTGCATCCCCGACTCCTTCGCGCGCAACAGCGTGTCCTGGGCGCCGAGCAGGAAGCGCATCATGCGCTCCTTGGTGAGATACGGCGCCGTGCCGGCGTTGTAGATGAGGAACCAGGTGAGCATGCTCTTCAGCAGATCGTTGTAGAAGACTTGCGGCACGCTGAACACCGTGCCCATGTCCTTGACGATCCGCTCCTCCAGTTCGGACTCGGACGGCTGGCCGATCGCGAACACCAGCTTCCTCAGGAAGTCGTATATAACCATGTCATTCTGCACGACCTGCTGTAGCCGCTTGAGCACGTCCGGATTCTGCTCCAACATCGGGAGGTCGATGCGATACCGTTTACCCTTCCCCTCGAAGCCGAGGATCGGGTCGTTCTCGATGGGTACGAGGAACTTGATGGAGTCGATGTCCACGTTCGTGAACACCGTCATGTCCACGATCTGGTCCATCATTATCTTCTCGAAATTGCCCAGCATGTTCAGGTAAGACCTGAACAAGTAGATCAGACTGTACTGATTCTTCTTCTGCTTAGAGTTCAGCGAGCCCAGGGTAATCCTCGCGCGATTGCTCAAGCAGAGCTTGTGCTTTATTTGCACGAAACGGTATACGCGTCGGCCACCTATATCGTATTTCAACACCAAGTCGTGGAATCCGCGAGCGTTGCGTACTTCCGTCCCCAAGTACCAGTTCCTCGAGTCGAAGTCGCTGCTGCACAGCAGCTTCCAAGCCACCCAGGTGAGGACTTTCACCTGGTAGGTGATGCCATGGGTGATGCCGTGCTTCAGGTACGCCGCCGCAAACTGATCGTCCGACCTTGCTTCTGTGGGATGTAATTGACGTCGTTACAATTAAGACGAGAAAATGTCTCGGCGGTAAAGCGCGATTTTTTAGGTGATTTTACAAAGAAAAGTTCGTAGGAACATATGTCATTTCTTCATAAAGTGAAACCTCAAAAATCAAGTAGAATATAATCAAGTATCTCAATTTTATATTATGCGCCGATAGATTTTTCTAGAGGAAGGCATCAAGTCTGGTTGGGTGATAAACATTTACGGGCGATAGCAGTCACACTGAGCCACGTGATCAGTGAAAGAGACCAACTGAGCTGTGTGGAGTGCAGAGGAAGCGTCCGTCTGACGTCATGATGAAAAAACGCGAATCGGTCGTCGAGCGATATATGATTCTCAGCGATTAGATATTAGCTCCGCGCGCAAAGCGGTGTACGCGTATCAGAGATCTTATATCACGGAGATTTCAACGGCTGTGACGGCCAATTGTCGTCCGGCAGGCCTGTGTAACTTTTAACACCATCGTGGTTACTTTGCCGCTGCGCGGCTATAATACACAGGTGAAAAAAAGAAAAGCTACGCAAGGGCGACGTAACGAACACGACACAGTCGTGAAAAATCACAGAATGGATCTACAGGTAGAACGGAAGATGACGATGACGTCGGAACAACGAGAAAACAATCGAAAGATGAGACTTTTTCCAATCATTCCCTCTCGTCATTCTCTGTTCCACCGGTGAAGCGGCAACAGGCGCGAGAAGAGAGACGCGGTTTTCAAAAATCGCACTCCCGATTAAGCGTGTCGCACGCCAATCGGTAATTGAGCGATAGCTGATGACAATACATGACACTGGGAAGATAGCTGGTGTTTAAACCGGACATAATCACCGTGATAACATGCGTAGTTACGCCGAGGTTGCGGTTTTCTACATCGCGATCTCGCTGTGTTCGCGAGCACCCACTTGCTTCTCGCGAAATCGCTGACGCGTGTGCTGTGAGTCACTTAATTGTCACTTTACGATCGCGTGGAACGTGAAAATATATCGATGTGAATCGATGTGAAAATACTGACCGTTTTTAATGAAGACCGTTCCGGCGATCTCGGCGGGATTCATGTTGGATGACCACACGTTTCGTATCTCCTGACGCGTCTTCGATCCAGCGCTACCCTGCGCGCAACACCGCGTCCGATTATATGAATGCGGCTGTCGTCTCTTGACTGAAGGGGGCAGTCCCGAGTAGCACAACAGAGAACCCGCGGAACCCCGCACTCTGATTAAGCGCGGGGAAGGTGGGGGAGCGATATAAGTGGACGCGCGAAACAAATTTATCGAATGAAACGCGAAATCCAACCCAGGCAGAACAAATGTCTAAGAGATGTCTTAAAAGTATGTCCTGGAAAAAGTTCTATTTTTTCTTTTAGTTATCTTTCGGACGTCTTTAAGAGATCTTTTGAAAATTTGTTCCATCTGCGACAGATCATTAATGATAAAACGACGCGAGAGCGTCGAAGACGTACCCTTCCATACCCGGCGCGCTCTCGCAAGCACGTCCGTCGATGTTTGGCCAATAAAGATTCAGGATGAAATAAACTGCGAATAGTTTCGAGATGAAAGAACGCAAACGAAACGAGAATTTTACGTTGCCGTTGGCAATTTTGATTTTGCGGCTTGATGTTATCGTATAGCTTGAAAATTTCGGCAAAAATCCGTTTTCTCCTATTTTTCCGCGGAGTTTCTGGCTTCTTACTTTCTTTATAGAAGGGAATAAATGTAGCAGGTTTTGACTGAACACGTGAATATTTTTAACGAATTTTCGTATCCTTAAGGCAGGAAAAATCTGCGGAAAAGTGGAGGAAAAACGGGGGTTTTTTCAGGAATTTTAAAACTACCGTAAAAGTCGATATATCGTCGATGATAGAAGTCGATGCCTTCCGAGAAAGATACGGAAAATTGATAATATTAGAAGTAGCAATTAGCGTTGCCAAGATCCCAGATTATCACTTTGGTACCCGAGTTTTTCAGATATTACCTATATCATTTTTCGAATCGCCAGGGTTTTCGGACACGTGGATGTACCCGAGCAAGGCTGCGTTCGGAAACCCTATTCGATGGGTAGAGACATTTAATTGACCAATCAGAACAAAAAGATTTCTTTGTTATAATTAATTAAATACTACTCTACTTGTCAAAAGTTTTCGAGCGCAGCTTAACCGGCTATTTGTAACACTTTTAATATTACTTCTCGTTATTCAAGTCATTCTATATACATAGAAGCATTAAAATAAAACTGGATCTTTTTAATGAAGTACTGAGTTTATAATTACGCCAGGTAAGATTACTACTAATAATCAGTGTTATCCAACTCGATTTTCAAGACTTGAAAAACACTGCCATGATATCGTTATCTCTTTAATTATGTCGCGATTAAAAATCCCACTATTATACAATGCATTCGCTAATCTAAAGGGACCAAAGTGCAACAAGGAAGTTATTACACACACATATACATACACACGGACACACATACACCACCCCGAGGTTATCTTTATAGATGCATTTTTTATTTCGAATACTATAACTGGCGAATAATAATGATCACTTAAATAAAGTCGTGTATTACGATGAATGAAGCAAAACATCACTATTTACATATAAATATTACATGATTCGCTATATCGCATCCTATCACGGAATGCACTCTATATACGTTGCACAGCGTGTGTGTAATCAACTACGCGCGAAAAACTCGTTTTTTAGCGTTTAACTAACTGTGAGATATCGTTAAAACTTTCACTTTCAACATTCTCTATATGGAAAAAGGCGCACTCTCTGTTAAAAATTCAACATTCTGAATTTGTCGGATAATCTAACATCAGCTTGCAGCAAATAGTGCTATATTAGTCTTACTTATTACAAACATGTGCGTATAATTCTTAGTGCGACGCGCGTTCGTAAATCGGTCCCGAGCGCGCGCTGCCGATTTGCGCGATTATAGAGTAACACGCCTCGAGGCATATCGGGGACCGAACAAACGCGCACGGGACCCGCCGGGGAATAATGCATTTACGAAAGCGACATTTGAGAAAGCTATACACGAAATGTCGCCAGTAGAAACGAAATTTTCTCGTTCAAATGAAACGTCTCGGTTATGTAATCCGATCCGAGAGATTGCGAGTGCGCGTCGAGAGAAGGGCGTACTTTGATTTTCATTCTCGAGGACTCGAGTAACCCCGTCCCGATGACGCTTCGATGCAATTTTCACGCGATGTTCTTCGCGAGACAAACACGAGAGAGCTTTCTGACTACCTCCGTCGTGTTTTCTTTCTCTCTCTCTCTCTCTCTCTTCTTTCAAACGAGTTCTGAGTCACAAAGAGAGACGATTCGAGATCACAGCATGGAAGACAAAAGCAAATCATAGTTGCACGCGAGAATCCCAGCCGGTATAATATATAAAAATCTACTAAAGATTAGAGATTAGCTTCTTTCTACATTTATTTTTTTTTCGCTCGATCGTTCGCGGACATAAGTCACTTAAATGCCAAAGCAGCTCGTATATGAATTACACTTTTATTATTACGACCAGCAACTACTACGCTCTCGAAATCACCTACTCGCAACGCACGCTAAACGCCATGAACGCGATTCTATCTCACCTAAACCCGTGGATTTTGTTCAACCTCATGGCTTAGCTTGGGATCAGCAGCCGGCATGATGCGAAAGACGGTCTCCCGTCGAATATCCCCCCTCCCTCCCGC